CGAAACACAAGGACACACGTGCCCCGAACGCACGCGCCAGGCGCATGTTGCCCCTCATCCGTTGCCCCCCCCCGCCTCAGCGCACGTAATTCTACGTGCGGAATCTGGCCCCCCGCGGACACGTAAAAAACACGTACCCCGCGCGCACGCGCCAGGGGCATGCTGCCCCCTCCCCCCATCCGCGCACTTACAGTTTCACGTGCTAACGGATTCGCCACCTGCAGGTTCGGTCCCTCGCTTGCGGCCCCGTCGCGGCCCAAAACGTGTGAACACACGTGCCCAGGCCAGCCGCATGTTGCCCCCCCTCCGCTGCCCCCCGCCTCAGCGCACGTAACTCTACGTGCGAAGTCTGAGCCTGTCGCCCCCCCCCACCCACACCCACCCCACCCCCTCCCTCCGCGCACGTTTTTACGTGCAAGAGAATGCGCCACCTGCAGGTTGGGTCCCTTGTCTGCGGCCCCGTCGTGGCCCGTCACACTTGGAACACGCGTGCTCTAAGCGCACGCACCAAACGCATGTTGCCTCCACTCCGCTGCCCCTCCCCCCACCCTTCCGCGCACGCAAGTTTTGCAAGTTTGCGCGTGGAGTTCGCCACCCCCAAGCTGGGTCCCCCTGGGGCCCCGTGGGCACGTGAAAACACGTGCCCCGCGCGCACGCGCCAGGGCATGTTGCCCCCTCCCCCCGCCCTTCCGCGCATATCTTCTTACGTGAAAAGAATATGCCACCTGGAAAGTTGATCCCTCGCTTGTGGCCCCGTCCTGGCCCGAAACACGCGGAAGCACGTGCCCAGCGCGCACGCGCCAAGCGCATGTTGGGCCCTCCTCTGCGAACGGAACTTTCCACGTCAAATAACTCGTCACTCCCAAGTTGGGTCCCCCTGAAGCCCCGTGGACACGCGAAAACACGTGCCCCGCGCGTACGTGCCTCGGGCGTGTTGCCCCCCCCCCCCCCCGCACACATTTTACATGTCAAGAATTCGCCACCTGCAAGTTGGGTCCCTCGCTTGTGGCCCCGTCGTGGCACGAAACATGTGAAAACACGCGCCCCGCGCGCGCGCCAGGCGTATGTTGGGGGCCCTCATTACGTTGCCCCCCCATCCACGCACGTAATCTTGCACGTGGGGGAACTCGCCACCCCCAAGTTGGGTCCCCCTTGGGCCCCGTGGACACGCGATATCAGCCCTGCGCGCACGCGCGGCGCATGTTGGGCCCTCCCCCTCCACGCGCGCATTTGCACGTGCAAAGCATTCGCCACCTGCAGGTTGGGCCGTGGCCCGAAACACGCGGAAACGTGTGCCCCGCGCGCACGCGCCAGGCGCACCTGGGGCTCCCCCTCCGTCGCCCGCCCCCCCCCCCCCTGCGCACGAAGCTTTACACGTAAAACAGCTCGCCACCCCCAAGCTGGGTCCCCTTCTGGGGCCCCGTGGACACGCGAAAACACGTGCCCCGTGCGTACGCGCCAGTGGGTTCCCCTCCGTTGCCCCCCCCCCTCCGCGCATGCATTTTTACATGTGAAGGGCTCGCCAAACCCAAGTTGGGCCCCCCCGTGGACACGTGAACATATCTGCCCCGCGCGGACGCGCCAGGGGCGCCTTGGGCCCCCCCTCCACTGGGCCCCCCTCTGCGCATGCGTGGTTGGGTCCCCCTTGGGCCCCGTGGACATGTGAAAACGCGTGCCCAGCGCGCACGTGCCCCGCGCGCACGCGCCAGGGGCATGTATCCCCCCCTTCGCGCACGTAAGTACTTTCGTGTGGAACAATTCGCCGCCTGCAAGTTGGGTCCCTCGCTTGCGGCCCCGTCGTGGCCCGAAACGTGTGAAAGCACGCGCCGAACGCACGCGTGCCGAGACTTCTGTTGGAGACCAGGGCCTTTGGCCTGCAAGCGAAAGATAACCCTGGGCTGGGGACCTTACCGGGAACAGGAACTTTCGAAGGTCCGCGCAGAGTTCTTGGGTCGGCGCCGTGCTCCCCTCCCAAGCGCGTGCCAGGGTCGGCGCTGGAGGCGACGCCAGGGCGGGGTCCATGGGGGTCCAGCGTAGATCCAAGAAGTCCGCGCAGACCTTGGAGAGCGTGTTGCCAAATGCTGCTTGCACTCAAGGGTTCTCACTTATGTCACTGAGGAATTCGATGGGCCCAGCAAATATTTTCCATTCTGCCTCGTGACCGCCTCGTGCGCTGGATGGGTCTGGCGACGCTTCGCCACGCTGTCGTCTGGGGCCGCCTCGTGGCCGCCTCGTGCGCTGGGTGAGTCAGGCGAGGTTTCGCCTCGTGGCCAACCGTTTGAGTCTGGTTGTATGGCGGGGCTCTGGTCCGCAGGCTGAATGTCTGTGGGCTCCAGCTGCCTGTGCGTCCGCCGCTGCCCGTGCTGCTTGCCATCCCTCATGCCTCCCCAACCCTCCCAGCCGTCTACCCCGCTCACGAGACACATGGCCGCTTCGTGGCAGCCTCGTGCGCTGGGTGGGCGCGGCGAAGTTTCGCCTCGTGGTCGCCCGTGGCCGCCTTGTGGCCGCCTCGTGCGCCAAGTGGGTCCGGCGAGGCTTCGCCACGTTGCCGCCCGTGGTCGCCTCGGGGGCGCACAGTGCGTGCACTACACGGCTCACACTACACGGATTGCACCACATAGCTCACACCTCGTAGCCCATGCGCTGTAGAGTGCACCACATGGCTTACAGAGCATCGCTCACAGATCAAATCTTGCGGCACATAGCTTAAACCACATAGCTCACACCAGATGACACTGCACTGCACCACTTTGATTGCACGACATAGCTTACGCCACTTACCTCACACCTCAAATCGTGCACCATGTATATTGTACCGTATAGCTTGCACCACCTAGCTCATACAGCATAGACTGTACCACATAACCTGCACCGCGTAGCTTACACCACAGATATTGCATCACACATGTTCGCCACGTAGCTTGCACCTCATGGCTCAGGCCACCTAGACCACTCCTCAGATATCACACTACAGAGCTTACACATCCACTGTGCAACACCTCGCTGTGTAGGGTCCACGCTGGCAAACATGCTTATGGCATTGGTTGTCTTAGTTCGGGATGGACAAGAAAGCTCCAGTGTTTGCGAGCGCGTCAAAAGGTCCATACTGCGTGTGCGCTCGACACAACGGGTGCCGAATATTCGACTGCAGGCGCTACCGAGGCCAATCGCGTCGGTATCGACGCGCGGTGAGAAAAAGCTCGCAACTCTTATGGATGACGAGCCACACCGACACACTGAAAGGAGTTGTGTGTTACTACTGGCTGCGAGATCAGGAAGGCTACTCGTCGATGCTCTCACCTCGGGGCGGAAGGGGGAGGGGGCACTAAAGTAGCGGCTAGCGAACCAGCTCACGTAGCTGTTTTCTTTCTGGCGCCTTCTGGCGCCGAAGACGCCCCATGCATCCAGGAAAACGCCCAGTGACGGAACCGAGGCTGGCTGCCTGCAGCAGATTTTGCCCGGCCCGATCGCCGCAGAGGAACAGGATGGCGAAGATGCAGCTGACAACGAGCTGCGTGTCACTGACCTGGGGGACACATTTTTGCAGCCGCCTCCCCGCTGCCGCCCCAGACAGGGCAGCTGGCTCGAAGTGTGGGGCGTGAGGAAAGGAGGAAGAATAAGACGAGAAAGGAGGAGGAAGAGGAGGAAGAGGAGGAAAAAAGGCACAGGTGAGGGCGAGGCGGGAAGCGGGAGAGGGATAGAGACACATAGAGAGGAAGAGAGAACAAAACAAATAAACGAAGAGAGCGAGAGAGAGAGAGAGGGAGAGAGAGGGAGAGAGAGAGAGAGAGAGAGAAATTGAGAGAGAGAGAGAGAGAAAGAGCGAGGAAGCGAGAGAGAGAGAGAGAGAAACAAAATACACAAGGATACATGGAGAGAGGGAGGGAGAGAGAGAGAGAGAGAGAAAGAGAGAGAGAGAGACAGCGGGAAAGCGAGGCAGGCAAAGAGAGAAAGAGAGAAGGAGAGGCATGAGAGGAGGTAAGGAAGAGGGGGAAGGGGGGAATGAGGAGGGGGAGGAGGAAAGAGGAAGAGGAAATACGGAATCGGCCATACATCACGAGTACTGCCCAACATAAACGCTGAAAGGAAAGAAGGAGGCGACGGCGCCGCACCGACATCGGGCCGAATCGAATGGAACCGAGCAACACACTCTGCGAGCATAATTTTCGGGACTGCGCGACCTGTCGCGCGCAACGAAAGCGAGAACAGGCCCCATCCAAGGGGTTGGAGCCCCGAGTGATCCTCGTTCGGCCAGAATTCGGGCGAACGGCCTCCGCGACGAAGCGCTGGCCCCGAGGGGCCCGGGGACCAAAATAAAAAAAGACGGTCATAAGTGCGCCACCAGGTCTTCGAAAATGAAGCTACCGGGGAAAGGACGGGGCGGAGGTCTCGCAGAAGGAAGCGAGGCGGCGGTGGAACGGGCGGCCTGCTTGAGAACAGATGCAGCAGCGCGGGGGGGGCCCGCCCGTCCTCGCCGTCGTGGCCCTCTTGGTTCCCGACCCACCCCCCGTCTTAAAAAGCGCGCGCCATGCCCCGAGTAGACGAGGAGGGCGCAGTGGGCAAGGTCCCCGATTCACGCCCCGCCGTAGGAGCACGCGCGGCCCCCGACGTGGACACGGAGGTCGCAGAAAGCAAGGTCACCGACGCACTTCCCGCCATTGAAGCACGCGCGGTCGCCGACGCAGACCGGGCAGGCGCCGTCGGCAAGGCCGCCGACCCACCCCCCGTCGCTGAGGCGAAGGCGATCGGCGGCGCCGCTGCCGCCTCCAAAAGATAAGTTACCTGGCTGGATCTTCTAGCCTGCGCTGCTGACTCCCCATGTCCCCGCGCGCGATGCCCACGTCGCCCTGCGCGGCGCAACCCAGCATGGCGGGCCCGAGCAAATTCTCTGACGACTGTGAAATCGATGCGCCCTCCTCCACGGGGGCTTCCTCGGAATCAGCGCTCTAGCGCCTGTCGCCTCCGAGGTGCCCCCCGCCGCTGGGGCTTCCCCGCCCCCTGGGCTTGGCCGCGCTACTTCTGGGCCTTCTCGCAGCTCGCATTCGCCCGAGGCTAGCTGCAGCGCCCTGTCCGCGCGCGACCCTGGGGCCATGACCGGGCGCAGCTCGCCTCCGAGCTGAAGCGCGCGCGACTGGCGCGCCAGAGAGTGCGCCATCTTGGCCAGGTCGTTCTTCTACACGCTCTGAACCCTTTGGCGAGCATGCTGAGGTCGGCGATCCACTGCGTCGTATTCGAACGTCCACTGCGTCGCATTCGAACGTTGCTGCGGCTCTGCCCAGTCCTTCGCGCCGCGTGCTCCCGCTGCTTCTCCTGTGTCTGCAACGGCCACCGCCGGGGTTATCTGCGCGCGCTGGCCCCGTCGCGACCTCTGCCAGCGGCTTGATCGCGTCCTCCAGATGCTCTGCCCGCAGTCTTGCCGCCCCCGCCGCGCGCGCCCGACTCGCGCGGAATCCCGCCTTCGCCAAAATCGCATACCCCCCCCCGTGTTCTCCGCGAACACCGCTGTCGTGATCATCCTCGCGCGTCGAGCGAGTTGCTTAGCGCGGCCCCCGTGATCGCTGACATCAGCTTGCTGACCGCGCGCGCGTTCATCGCGGGCAACTTGCCCAGCCCGCCCGCTGGGGCACCGCGTGACTTGCCCACTTCCATCTGGATCGCCTGCCCCCCCTCTTCACGATTTGCCGCTGCAGCTGGCCTCCTTCCCCTTCCTCGTGCACCCGTGGCTCGCCGCGCCCGGGTCGCCGCGGCCCCCGGCCGCCCCCGCGCGCCCCGCCGCGATGGCGGGGTGCGGCGGCCGAGCCATGGCGGCCCCATCTCTATCCTTCTCCTCCTCCGCGCGAACGAGATCTCCCCGCGGCCGCCAACTGCTCCGCCCCCCAGGCGAAACGTCGCACCCTCGCAGCGCGAGCGGGCATCGAGGCGCGTGCGATCTGAAACGAGGGCGCTGGCTACTATAGCTCGGTCCTGCAACGGCCCCGACCGTTCGCGCGCGCACTCGGAAGAATGCTCGCACCTCTCCCCCCTGAACATCGAAATCGCAGTCATCTCGGCCAGAGGACAAAACATCTGTTCCCCTGGGCCCAGAGCAGGATGGGCAACTGGCGATACTTTCGGGGGGCGCCCTCCTCGCGCGACTGCCCGTGCCGCGCGCCCACGCGCAATCCTTCTCAGTCGAAGCGCCCGGTTGCAGAGGGCGCGTTCGTGCGCGACAGCGACGGCGCGCGCCGCGGAACCGCGCGCGCGCCCGCCACCCCTTGAGAACCGTCGATGGGCCAGCACCATTCGACGAGCATCGGAGACCCCCCTCCTTGCACTTCCCCGTTGGAGTTCTCCAGGTCGCGCGTCCATGTCGCCGCGGGCGGGGAAGGGGCCCGAGCCCCGGGAGGTCATGCAGGGCCGCCATATTGTCCAACAGGTGGTGGCGCGGCGACAGTTTTCGCGGCCGCCATCGCTGCCCCGGGATCTGGGGCCAGGAACCATTCTCGAAGACTCCCGCCCATGAAGAGCGCCCGAACACGCGGCCGAAGGTAAGGCCCCGGCGAGGGCCCACCGCAGAACCACCCCTCCAGCAACGCGGCCTCGCACTCCTACGCCGGCGCCAGGATGTCGTTCGCGAGGCGTTTGGCACGCAGGTTGGCGCGCTCGCGGACCAGCCCCTGCGCGCGCGACCCAGCGTATCTCCCGATTGGTAGCCTCCCAGACATGAGTTCGATCTGGGACCCCTATTCATCTCTGGCGCCGTCTCGCCCCGCGCGCCCCCAGTTCGACGCCGGGCGGGGCAGGGCCGAGGCGACGAAGGACCACCTCGCGCTGTAGAGCAGGATATCGAAAGACTGCGCTTCCTACAATGTCCCGCGCAGAGTTGCCACCTTCACATCGCCCCTCTAGCGCGCGAGCGAATCATGCCGGAGCGCGATTGAAACGGGCCCCCCGGGCCGCCGATAAGACTGGCGTAGTTAGCCCCGAAAGTATTGCTCCCTGGACAACCACCTCGAAGACAGTCTGCCTGAACCTCCGCGCTTGACTCCTGGCCCAGAGCACGGCGATGGAGTAGTCGCACCTCCTGCGCGCTAGGATGCGCCCCCCGAAGTCCCCCCTGATTCCCCGCCATTCACCGCCGTCTGAATACCCGTCGCAACGTTATCACCTTAAACCTGGACAGGTAGCTTCACTTCGCCTGCGGGCGCAGCAAAAACGTAGGATTTCGCTTCGATGCCGTCGAAGAAAGGAGAGACGTTGCTCCTCCCAGAACTGTGGAAATATCCATCTTCAGAAAGTGAGTGCATCTCGAAGGTGATTGCACGCGCGCTCAAACGTCGCAAAGTGCTTATTGCTGGCGTCGCCGGCGTAAATTCGGCATGGCAAGTTCGCGGGCCACTGCCGCATCGGCGCCTACGCCGCGCGTGGGGCCTCGCTCAGCCACGAGGCGACGTCGGGGCCTGCCGGCGGCGAGGGCACCGGCCATTGCTCTAGCCGTTCCCCAAGCGCGAACGGCCTCGGTGGACCTTCCCCATGCTGCCCCCAGCCCCTCATCGCGCCTAGCCACGTCTGCGCTGGCCTGCGAAACGAGCGAGCGAGGGGCGCCACCGCTTGACTGTCGCCCAAGAATGCACTGCACAAGAAATGCATGGTCTGCCCCCCCCCAGCGGCTCCGTTGATGGCGGGCGCGCTCGTCTCGCGCTCCCGGTGGAAGCGGCGCTGGATGGGCGCCTCCATCGCCCCCTCACGGCCGCGAAGGTGGCGCGCTCGAGCGCGTTCGACATGTCTTCCTTGGACGCGACCGACGACGCTTCCAGAGACTTGGGATGACGCAGCAGCGTATCCTGGCACGCGGGGGCGCATTCTCTGCCCCTGCCGCGGCGGCATCCGCGCGCACGAGCGGGAACGGCGTCTCCAGGGCCCCGACGAAGTTGAGCTCTTTGCCACAGCGCTCCAGTCCTTCGCAACCCATGCATAGACCGCCTGGCCGCGAAGGCCTCCTTACCGTTGTGCTTATCAAGTCCTGTCGCCCTCGACTGGTGCCACGCTAGCGGGGTGCGTCGTGCCCTCCCGGTGCGATGAAATATGTTCTGCGGCGCCTTGAATCTGCGTTTGTTCGAGATCGTCGCCAACTCTGCCCCGCGCCCTCCCTTGTCGTCAGTGAACCCATGTCGCGGTGCGAACTCTGGCCGACGATTCGTGGGTCTGTCATGTTCAGCACCTTTGTCGTCCTCATCTCTTTTCCTCCTGAGTTCGTGGTGCGATCCACGGCGCCTACGCGCGGGGCCCCGCGCAATCATGACCGACGCTCCCAGGCAGCATCTGGTGCCGCATCGCGAAGCACGGGGTCGTGAATATCAGGCGCTTCACTAACTTGTCTCTCTGGGTCATCCAGGAACTCTGCCATTCCCACTCCTTACTCAACGCGATTGCCAAGCAACCGAAATCCCATCCCACAGAAGTTGTACTCCACCTTGAGCAGCACTGGTACGTGGTCATGCAATCCTCGCGCGCCCCCAAGCTTCAGACTCAAGTAGGCACGACGCGTCGCCAGGCAGCGAGTCACCGACTTCGTCTGTCGAGAGAACACAGCAATCTAGTCAATGCAAGTCTGCGGCTGTGGCCCGAAGTACGTGGCCCCCAAGTCGAAACATGCCGTCGCAGCAACTACCATCTGTCTTTCCATGATTTCAAGCACCTGGTCCGCTACATCGCGCTGCTCGTCCCAAGCGAACGGTCTCAGCGACGGAGAGGTCACCCAATCGATGCTTCCACCGCGTCTTCTGCGCCAGCTCATAGAGTCGTTCAGGTCAAACGCTCTCTCTCTCTCTCTCTCAATAGTGAGGGCCTTCTGCAAGGTCACGTGAGTACCTCATCCATCCGCTGGCACATAACATCTACTGTGGCCTGGTACTTAGTATGAGCCGTCTGCGTATGTACATATGCTTCCCTCCCGACTCGACGTCCGCATAATCAAGGCGGGAAACACGTCAGTGGGATCAGCGCATCCAACCGTCCCGGCCGTAGTCGAAATGGTGCCACTCGTCCCTGAAATGTTGTTGGTATTGAAGGCGCGTCGTACACATTACGCCTCTCGAGCACCGGTTTCCTCAACCGCAAAGCCTCTCCGCGCGACCTGTTGGCATGGCGCTAAAGAGGCTGCCTTAACTCACCACGAAGCGGTAGTGCAGATTCACGAAAACTGCCGGACGATCTGGTGCCGCCCTCTCTCCACTGCTGGTGGCCGCAACCGAAACCGTCAATCTGAACCCCTCGCCTAGGTCATGGAGCCGCTTGGTGCCCGCCCGCACGCTGGGCATCCCAGTGCACGGGCGTGAGCATTCCCGCATGCACGACAAGAGAAAAGAAGCACATGCAGGAGTACGTGGTGGAACGGTGCGGGCGGGGCCTGGATGGGGGCAGACGCAGCGAAGAGGTGCCTGCTGCGTTACCGTGCCCGCCAGCCCCTGGAGCCAGAAGCTCCCGAGCAGAAGGGAGCTACAGGAGGAGGAGGAAGAAGAGGAGGAGGAGGAGGAGGGGGAGGAGGAAGAAGAGGAGGAGGAGGAACGAGAATGCCAGGAGGAGGAGGAGGAGGAGGAGGAGGAGGAGAAAGAGGAGATGCGGAAACGGCCGCACGGCAGGAGAAACAACAACAAAAAACGAGGCCGAGGGACGAGGAGGAGGAGGAGGCGGGGAAAAGAGCGGAGGAGGTCAACCTGGAAAATGTCTATCTCGACGTGCTCCAGCCCGCCGGGGCTGATCGGCCTGCAGCCCACCACCGCCACGGGGCAGCCGTCGCGGGAGGTCACCTCGAGGTTCAACGAGTCCTCGTCGCCCGCGATGATGAGCTGCGGCTGCCCCTGAGCTGGCCGGCGAAAAACGCCGTGGCATGCGGTCGGGGACTTTTGCTCAGCGTGTTGCCGCGGCGGTCCCAGCGACACGCCGCGCCCTGGAGGCGGGTGGCGTGTCGCTCCGATCCGCGGGGTGGGAGGCTGGGAACAGCTCGGGACGCTGACGTTAAGGAACGGGCACGCGGGCAGCGTGTCGCGCAGAAGCGCGGCACTCCAGAGCCGACGGAGCAACGCGCTGAGCTGAAGCTCCTGGCCGCAGACTGCTCCGCCCTCGGGGGCACCTGTCCCAGGGCCGCTGGGAAGCTGATGCCCCTGCGGTGGTAGGCAGGTGCGTAAACTTTCCAGCCCTCCTGGGGCAGGTGCCTCCGATCGATGGCGGACAAGTTTATGTTATACCGCCTTTCTCCAGCTAACTGGCCGGACGCCGACAAATTGGGGGGGTGACCGGTGAACGGTGAACGGTGCCCGCACCAGCATGCATGCGTAGGGACTAAGCGGGGCAGGGCCGGAGCGCGCACAAACACGACATTGACTGCAGCGTGGAGGGGCAACAGGCTCGCAGGTCTTCGTACATGTGCAAATTGGGGGAGGGGAAGGCGATCAAACAAATAGTTTATGCGGCTCGACTGCGCCCTCGCAAATAATAGAAGGAGGAGGAGGAGGAGCAGGAGGAGGAGGAGGAGGAGAAGGAGGAGGAGGAGGAGGAGGAAAGGGGGAGGGGAGGAGGAGGAGGAGGAGGAGGAGGAGGAGGAGGAGGAGAAAGACGGGGATCCGGGGGGGGGAAGGGGAGGAGGAGGAGGAGGAGGAGGAGGAGGAGGAGGAGGAGGAGGAGGAGGAGGAGGAGGAAGAGGAGAAGGAGGAGGAGGAGGAGGAGGGAGGAGGAGGAGTGGGAGGAGGGGGAGGAGGAGGAGGAGGAGGAGAAGGAGGAGGAGGAGGAGGAGGAGGAGGAGGAGGAGGGCCGCGAGTCGGAGGGGCGCGTCGATCCACGCCCGCCCCCGCCCGCGCCACCGCCCCAAGGGACAGGCGACGAGGGCCCCGAAGCTGTGGGACGCACGCGCAGACACTACGCGTAGTGTCCGCGCGTGCAGCCCAGCCGCTCGGGCCCGAGGGCCAGGCGACCGCGGCGCCCCAAGAGAACGGACAAGGGCCGCCCCGGGGCCCCCACGAACGGACTCCGAGGCGGATCCAGCAGGGCGCGGAGGGCTGCTGGGCCGCCCAGGCCCGCCGCCCCCGCCCTCCGCCCGCGCCGCGCCCGCGCGGCAGGCCGCCAGCAGGAAGGCGACCTGCTGCCGATGGCGCCCTCGCCCCAGCGGCAGTCCTCCTCGCTGCCGCCGCAGGCCAAAGTGGCCGCGGCAGCAGCCCCTGGGGGCGCCACACTGGCGGCACTTCCCCCCTCGCACCGTTGCGGCTCCGCTCACCGTCAGGCGGCAGCGTGCGCGAGCTCCTCCGCCGCCGCGGGGATGGCGGCACCCCACCTCCGCTGGCCACGCTGGCCACGCTGGCTGCGGCGGCGGCGGCACCAACAGGCGCCAGACGGGAGGCCCTGCCCAGCCTCGCGCCGCCACCCCGTGCGCCACCAGGCCGCCGCGCGGGGGGGCGCGAGCGCTGCGGGGAGGGCGGGCCGCCACCGCCGCAGGCCACGGTGGCCGCGGCAGTGGCCTCAAGGTGCGCCGCGCTGGCGGCACTTCCCCCCCTCGCCTCGACCTCAGCGCGCGGCCAGGCAACGCCGTCGACTTCGTCTCCGTCCTCGCCCCCGCCGCAAGCCCCTGTGGCCGCGGCGAGGGCCCCTGGGGGCGCCGCGCTGGCGGCACTTCCCCCCTCGCGCCACTGCAGCTCCTGCGGCCCCGCGCGCCACCAGGCGACCGCGCGCGCGTGCTCCTCCTCCGCCGGCGGCGCGCCACCGCCTCGGCCAACGGTGGTCCCGCTGCCCCTCCATGCACCGCAGCTCCGCGCACCGCCAGGCCGCCGTGCAGGAGGGCGCGACCTCCGCGGGGGGAGCGGGTCGCCACCACCGCAGGCTGCGGTGGCCGCGGCATTGGCCCCTGGGGGCGCCGCACTGGCGGCTCTCCCCCCCCCTCGCCTCGACCTCCTCGCGCGGCCAGGCAGCGCCGTTGCCTCCGTCGCAGTTCTCGCCCCCGCCGGCCACAGTGGCCGCGGTGGAGGCCCCTGGGGGCGCCGCGCTGGCGCCCCCCCCCCTCTCCTCGGCGTCGCCACGCGGTCTGACCCGAGCCAGGCCGCCTCCGGCTCCTCCGCGGCCCTGTGCTCCGCCATGATGGCGAACGGGTGATCCTCCTTCGCCGCGGGGTTGGTGGGGGTGGCGATCCAGGGCGGACCGCGGGGGCGCGGGTGGCGCCCGCCCCCCCCCCTCCCCCCCTGCCCACGCCATTCCCCTGGCAGGCGCGGGCAGCACTCGTCCTGCCCCCCATGCCCTTCGAGCCCGTCTCGAAGTTTGCCCCAAGCCTCACCGGGGCGCCCTCGCTGCTGCGCACTCCGCGCCCTCGGCGCCGACCACTGCTGCAGCCACCGCCTCCGCTGTCGTCGCCATCGCCGCGGGCCGCGGCGGCCGCAGCGACGGCCCCTGGGGGCGCCGCGCTGGCGGCACTTCCCCCCTCGCGTCGTCGCCCCCGCCTCTGTCGTCACCCTCGCCGCAGGCCGCGGAGATGGCCGCGGCAAGGGCCCCTGGGGGCGCCGCGCTGGCGGCGCTTCCCCCCGTCGCCTCGTCGCCCCCCCGCGAGCTGGCGCCGCCTTGGCCATCGGCGCGCGCGCCCCTGCCCTTCGCTCCGCCAGGCTGGCGCGCGGGCGAGCGCCTCCTCCGCCGTGGGCGTGATGGGGGTGGCGAGCTAAGTCGGACCGCGGGCGCGCGGGCGCCCCCCCCCCCCCCCCCGCCCCTGCCCCTCGCCGCGCCCCCCTGGCAGGCGCGGGCCGCCCCTGCCCCCCTGCCCCTCGAACCCGCCTCGAAGTTTGACCATTGCCTCGCCGGGTCTTCCTTGCCCTCTCCCCTCGTCACGGCCACAGGCCCCTCGGGCCGCGGCGACGGCCCCAGGGGGCGCCGCGCTGGCGGCACTTTCCCCCCGCTCCTTCCCTGCGCCTCGCTCGTCGTCGCCTCCATCTCCACTGGCCGCCTCGCCACCGGCGCCTGACGAGTTGCCGTCGAGCCGCTGCGCCGCGACCGCCACCACGCCCGCGATCTTCGGCGCGAGACCCTGCGGCAAACGGCCGGTCACGGCGCTGCCTGCGTCCGAGAGCGGGAACCTGCACACCTGGCTGAAGCTGCCCGGCCGCGCGGCACCCGTGAACCCGCATTGGACGCAAGCGACCAATGGAAGCCGCCGCTCGAGCAGCGCATCGCCCACGGGGCGAATCGCGACCAGGTCGTGGGACGCCGGGCCCTGCTGCTTCAGCACCTCATTGGCCCGCCTCGCGTCGAAGACGATTTCGCCCGGAAGCTCTCCGACCCGCTCGGTCCACCTGCGCACCTCGCGCCATCTGGGCTGGCCTGGCTGGCCTCGCCATGTGCAAGCCACCCTCGCAGCGGGCCCCCGTCGAGCCTGCGTGGCGCGCCGCCGCCCCCCCTCGCTGTGGGCGGTGTCGCGGCCGCCCAGCCACGTGCCCACAGCCGTGCACCACGTGGCCACCAGCTCGACCTGCATGCGCTCTGCGACGAAAATGCCCCTATCCTTTGCAGGCACTCGGCCTTGGTACGCCGCAGCCTTGGCGGCCAGATCCGCGCGCCTGTTGCGCACCCTGCCGCGGTAGGTGATGGCGCCGCCGGCGACCTGCCTCCTCGCGCAGTGAGCAGGGGCCCAGCGCGCCAGCACAGCGCGGCCAAGCCCACCCCGCTCGCTCACGAGGAACCACGCCCTCCGCCACAGCTGCGCCCAAAAGCACGCGCACGAGGTGGTGGCCTCACGCCCGGCCCTTTTGAAGCCGTCGCAAACGTACTTCGAGTCTACGACCAGGGTGGTGTCACCGACACCAAAAAGGCAGCGCCATGATGACCGCCATCCGCTCGCCCCCGCGAAGGTCGACGCAGCGCCCCTCCAGCTGGCGAGCGATGGAGGCGCCGTAGCAGTCGGCGTCCCGCCGGAGAGCGACCACGCTCCAACCCACCGAGGTGGGGCCGTCGAAATCCGACTCGAACGCGGGGCCGTCCAGGAAGAGCTCCCCCCCAGGCAGCGCCCCGCCTGCGTAGTCGCCTCTCTGGCACACGAGGTCGCTTGCCCGCGGCCTGCGCAGGCTCGTGGCGGAGGGCCACAGACACCTCTCAAGCAACAGCTGGACGTCAGGCTGGTGGCTGCGCCTCATGAGCCCCCCAAGCTCCTCGGGGGGCGTCAGCGCCCTGCGCCACCTGGGGCAGTCGCAGCGCCTGTGCAGCAGGGTGCCTCGCGCTCCGCGCAGCAGGCAGTCGGCTGCGGCGGTCAGCCCCTTCTGCTCCTTGCGCGCCTGGGGCCACTGCCAGTTGACCACCAGCGAGTGTAGGTACGCCCTCTCGCGCAGAGTGAGCCTCACCTTGGCCCCCGCCGCTGCACCCTCCTGCCTGTCCGCTACGCTGGTGGCGCACCCCGAGGTGGTGAGCCTGATCAGCGGCTCGAGCACCCCGCCACTCGCCGGGTGCGCGCAGCCTGGCGCCGTACTGACCTGCCTTCGCTGCCGCCGCAAGATGGCCCGCTGCGCCAACTTCGCGACGATCCACAGGGAGACGCCGAAAGGCGCGACGCAGCAGCCGTCGTCCATCCTCCAACAGTTGGCGGCCACGACGTCCCACCATATCCTGCGCAGCAAAAGCACCGTCGCGCAGCGAGGGCACTGGACGTGAGCCCACGAGCCTGCCCGCGCGTCCTGCATGCAGAAGACCACCATGTGGCGCGGCGCCCACCCCCCCAGACCGCGCGGAGGAGCATCTGCACAGGCTTGCACGTGGCGCCCACGATCGGGCCCAGCCCAGGCTGCCGCATCAACGCAAGAGTCCTCGACTTGCCCGCGGCGGTGCTGGAGGCCGCCACGAACGTGAGGGACCTGGCACGGCCTAGCTCGGCCATGGCGCACCCCGTGACGGCCGTCCCGTACCCGATGCTCAGGTGCAGCGCCGTCTTCACAATCCCCCTGGCCGATTTCTTCCTCGCCTTGACCAGCTGAACGATCCTCACTCTCCGCAGCGTGCGTCCAGCGCAAACGCCGCGGCCAAGCCTCTTGCCTCCACTGAAATCGACGCCCAGGTTGCGCTCCTCTCCCGTGGCGAGCACGCCCAGCGGCTTCCTCAGCCTGCGCTCCAGCTCCCTCCTCGCCTCTGGGTGGCTGGCGAGCGCACGGGACTTCCTGGTGGCCGCGTGCAGCTCCGCCTCGCCGAGGAACGACTTGAGGCGCCTGGCAGCGGTGGCGATCTTGGTGACCGTCCGCTGCGTGCCCCCGACCCGCTTGAGGATGATGTCGTCCAACACCACTGACAGCGAGACTGTGGGCGCCACCGCCTGCAACTGATCCAGGGTCTCGAGCAGCATCATCTTGAACACGAGCGTGGCGGGCCCATCCCCTGGCAGCACGGCCTGCTGGGTGGTGATGAGGTTGCTCACCGCCTCGTCCAGCAGCAGCCACCTCGGCGACCTGTACAAGATGACCTGCAACTTGAGCTGCCACTGCGGGAAGCCCGTCCTCACCGCTGCCCTGATGAGATGCCCATGCTGCACCTGCTCGTACGCATTGAGCAAGTCGAGCAGCACCAGCGCGGACACCCAACTCTCAGGTTTTCCTGCCTCCATCCCTCTGGCTGTGGCCCACTCGCACTCCACCGCCTGTTGCCAGACCGCCCTCTCGCACCCTCTGCCTCTGGACGCCCAGAAGTAGGGACGGTCGCTCCTGCGCTCCCACTCGTCCGCGATCGACTTGCGCAGCCTTGTCTGCACTCTGGCCAACACACGTGGATGGCGGCCACGGAAGAGGAGGATGGGATAGCGCGTCGGCAGGTCCTTCCGCGCCAGCACTGGCCCTGGCCTGGCCGATCCTGGGACGCGCGTGTCGATTCCTACGCCTCCCCGGCCTACCCAAATCTCCGACGATACGATGCGTTTAACCGGCGTTTCTGTCAACCCGTAAACCCAGACGCCTTCGCGTCGTGACAAAAATCACGACGGGAATTGTTTATGTACTTTCAGCCTCGGGGAGCGCCTACCAGGCCTCGGGACCGTCAAAAAATCAGCTCAAGATGACAAGCTGGTCACGGGGAAAGGGTCGAGACCTCTGGGGATCGACGTTGTGAAAAAATCACGACGTCGGGTCTGGAAAAGAAGGACCCGCGATAAGGTTGCAAAGGGCCTTGGAAGGCCATGAGGACACTTTGCGGGCGGGGCGCGACCAACGAAAGCGGCCAAGGATGAGCCGAAGGGGAAGGATGCAGGGGCGCCCTCGGAAAATGGATCATCCTTAATGTGCGGGTTGACTGTATGATGCGTTCAACCGGCGTTGCATTATACCGAGATAGAAGAGAAATGCAAGTTGAAGACGGGGCCCATAAACAGGCCGGGAGGAGGAGGAGGAGGAGGAGGAGGAGGAGGAGGGAGAGGAGGAGGAGGAGGAGGAGGAGGAGAAGGAGGAGGAGGAGGATTGGGCGTTGCTTGAAGGGTGGGCGATAAATTGTGTGGGGGGTAGGGGGGGAACGTGCATTTTTCGTGCCGCGCCCCCTTCGGGCCCCATGGGGGCCCCTTGAGGGCCTCTGAGGCGCACGAGAGGTGCACCGATCTCCTCCCCCGCCTTGCATCGTGCCCCCCCCCCCCCCCCCCCAACTACGCAACGCTCGACTTGGGGACCAACCCCCGCTCGCTGGGGCCGCTTCTGCCCAGCAGGCCCCCCAGGCCTCAGCGTGCACGGCGAAGGTCCCGTTCGCCTGCTGGGGGGGTGGGCGTCGTCGTCGTCGTCGTCGTCGTCGTCGTCGTCGTCGTCGTCGTCGTCGGCGGGTGCGGCGGCGGCGGCGGCGGCGGCGGCGTCGGCGTCGGCGTCGGCGTCGTGTCGCGCCGCTCGCCCCCCCGCTGCTTGGGGAGCCCAGGCGGCGCCCCTCGGCTGCGCGCAAGGAGCGACCCTGGGCAGGAGTGACCTCTGGGGCACGACCTCCTGGGGAGCGCGGGGGTGCCAAACCCGAGCGAGCAACCCGGAGATCCTGTCGCTGCAATCTCTTCACAACAGGCGCTTCGCAAGGCGGGGATGCCCCGGGGCCCTCACAGATCGATCCGGCGCGAATTGCGACGCAGAAAGAGGAGGTCTGGGGCTCCAGTCGTCATGTTTGCGCGATGCTTTTACTTTTTCGCGACGTCGGATTTTCGGGAATAGATCCGACGTCTCGAAAAAATTGAAACATCTTATTAAAAATGACGACTGGAGTCCAAAACCCCCTCTTTCTGCGTTCTTTTTCGAGCTGGATCGATCTGTGAGGGTCCTGGGGCCCGAAGCTGGGCGAAAACGCACGTTGTGACAAAATTGCAACGACAGGATCTCCGGGGGGCCCTTGGGAACGTCATGATTCTTTCGAAACTTCGACCCCCAGAGATCTCGACCCATCTCCCAGGATGGTTTCTAATCTCGAGTCCTTTTTTGATGGTCCCGAGGCCCAACAAGAGCCCACAGAGGCCCAAAACGTAGCGACAAACCTCCCGTCGTGATTTTTCACAGCGCGAGGTGGTCTGGCAGCGAGGAGTCTCCCAGCCCTGGCTTGCGTTCGGCGATCGGGGAAGCCCGGCGGGCCCGCACTCGGGGATCTTCTGTGAAGGGGCCCTGGGACACACACATAAAAATACACAGATCAGAGGATCCCCCCATGTTTTCCGATGTTTTCTAGGTTTTCGTCTGTCCCCCCTTCCCATATTTCACGATTTTTTCCTGGGGATCGACGATTGATTGTGTCTGTGTGGCTTCTTCTCCTCCCGATCAATCCAGGCCCGGGCCAGTCAGGCCATGCAAACTCCTGCAAGCTCCTGCGCCCAAACCCAGGTCGACGCGAAGGCTCCTGCCAGACCCCGCAGGATCCTGCTCCCTCAGCCCGAGTCGGTGCGACCCTGGCCCTGCAGGATCCTGCAAGACCGGGCGCTCCGGCTGAGCCCCGCTTGCATTGACCTCCGCCTCGTGTCGGAAGCGACGATCGGGGCGAATAGCCCAGGGAGGAGCAAAACATGTATCCAGGGGTGCCGATGATCTATGTTTTCGGCAAGGCTCCCGGGCGAATGCGTGTAATCCCCGCCCCAAGACTATTCGCCTCTGTCGTCGCCTCTGATCTTGAGCCCCGACGCACCCAGGAGGCCACGACGCCGGCGAGGGGCCCCTCTCCTCTTACGCTGCCGCCGGGAGCCCACCGCACGCCGCCGGCTGGGAATCCGCAGGCGCTCCTCTGCGGACGCAGCTGGCACGCCTCGTCGGGCAACAAGAGACCGACCCAGACCAGACGCCCTCGCGTTGTGACAAAAACACGACAGGAGGTTTTCCGCTATTTTCGGCCTCGGGTGGCGTCTACGGGGCCTCGGGACCGTCAACAAAACGACTCAGGATGACAAGCCAATTCCAGGGGAGGGGTCCAGACCTCTGGGGGTCCACGTTGCGACGAAATCACGACGTGGGGGGTCTGGGGAGGAGGAGGAGCAACACGCTGTCGAGCCACCAGCGGGAGCAGCGCGCTAGTGATGTAGTCATGTAGTCAGCCCGCAGCGACAAGGATGCAAAGCCTGGAAGGCCATACCGACACTTTGCGAGCGGGGCGCGGCCAGCGAAAGCGCCAGGGGTGGGCCGAAGGAGAAGGATGCAAGGGCAACCTTGGAAAATTGCCCATCCTTGCTATGCGGGGTGACTGTACTGTCGGGAACTCTTGCTCAGCGTGCCACGGCGGCGGTCCCGGCGACACGCTGTGCCTTGCAAGCGGATGGCGTGTCGCTCCGCTCTGTGGGATGGGAGGCTCGAGAACGCTCGGGACGTCGACGCTCGGGGACTGCGGCGTGGATGGCGTGTCGCGCCGCAGCGTCGTTCGCCAGAACCAGCGAAACGTAACGCTGAGCCAAAGTTCCTGACCGTACCCTTTCTCCGTCCCGAGTTGCGGGAGGATGAGGGGGGAAAGGTCTTGCAGTTTCGGACTCCGCCTAGGATCATCCGAGGATGCCCTTCGAACGCGAAGACGAGAAAAGGTGCAAACATGGTGAAAAAGACGAGGCGCAACTGAACTGTTATCGAATGCCCTCAAGAGCAACGCGGGCAAAGACGCACCCGAGCGTGAAACGCGTACGCTAGAGAACAAGAGGGGGAATAGACAAGAGGAGAAGGAGGAAGACCCGTAACTCCTCGCGTCGTGCCGTTTGAGGCATCTGGGAGCCCTTGCCGGGCCCAAGGACCATCAGAAAATGACAAGCCAGCCTCGGAGGAAAAAAGGCCCCAAGAATCAAGGGAACAGCGCTGGGAACAGATCGCGTCGTCGGCGGTCTGGGCGTGTTTTTTTCTCACCCCCGCAAGGATGAATCATAACTCCAACCCCGAGCACTGCTCAACTTCGCGGCAGGGCTGCGCCGCAGAGCGAGACAAAGAGCGGATTGCAGCCCCCTGAACAGCACGAGTCTGCGCGCCCGTCTCTACAGCAAGTGGTGGAACAACGGAGACGACAGAGGAGAAGGACCTTTTCCTCTGGAGGGGGACCCTGAGATACGACGACGCGAGCAAAAACAAGACTCCGCGAAAAACTCGACCAGATACATATGCCCTATCCTTCTCCTGCACTGTCTGAGCTGGATCGATGTGTGCTGGTCCCTGGGCCCGAAAGCGGGCGAAAACGCTTGGAGGGCCCCCTCTCCGCAGAGCAGCCCGCGCCTATCAGTCGTTAGGCTTTTCCAGGATAGCAGACTGCTCACCCCATCGGCCTTAGAGAACCCGCAAAGTCAAACACCTCCGAGGGGAAGGAGGAAGGAGGAGGGAGAAGGAGGGAGGAGGAGGAGGAGGAGGAGGAGGAGGAGGAGGAGGAGGGAGGACGAGGATGAGGAGGAGGAGGAGGAGGTGGAGGAGGAGGAGGAGGAGCATGAGCAAGAGGAGGAGGAAGAGGGGGAGGAGGTGAAGCAGAAGAGGCCGTAAGAGGACGAGGACGAGGGCGAGGAGGACGACGAGGACGAGGACAACGAGGAAGGGCTGCATCGAAGATTGGCAGAACACCCTTTAGCA